CCCCGGCCTGCACTGGTCAGTCCTGAGCAGCACAGCTCCGCTGCCAGGTTGGTACCAGACAGCAGAAGTGGCGGTGGAGCCGTGTGCCGCTCGGGACTGACCGGCGCAGGTAAGGGAAAGTGCAGCTGAGCCCCTGCTGCTCCAGTCGGGCTTATCCTGTCCCGAAAGGCACACGGCTACTCCTCTTCCCACATTCACCGCGTTGGCAACACCAAGTTGATGCAGTGCACGTGGGAACCTTGTCCCTTCCCCAGCCCTTCAGCAGCCATTAGGAAGCTGCTGAGGGGCTGGGGGAGGGACAAGGGGCGGGAACAAAAGTAAACCGTGTTTACTTTCGTTTCCTGTCTCAGCATCGCGGGCCACAGAAAATGCCTTGGTGGGCTGCGTGGTGGCCTGCGGGCCGTATGTTGGACAAGCCTGCTCTAAATGGTACTTGGAAGTGAAACTCAGTTGAGGTTTGATTTCTTGTTTTCTGTCACTTAACCTAACTGCAGAGTTAAAGGAAATTTTAAGTAGTGGCAGATCTTGCTTAACAGAGCTGATCCCTGACCTTTGTTCTGTCTGGTCATACAGCTAGAATAAGTTAGAGAACTTGTAGACCTGCAATAACAACATACATGTCAAATGAATGCTGTGCCTTTTTTGTACCAACACAATTGGCTATTTAGTGGCAGGGCTAGTTTCAACAGTACAAGCTGAAGGGGTAGTTGTGGCTGGGGAATCATTGTGGGAGAAAGGAAGAACCTGCTTGATTTTGCTAGCTTTTTACTTGTAAGCCAAGTGAGCTTGTAATGCATGTCACTGAGACACAAGGATGAAACCTTACACAATCATTCACAGTCTTTTTTCAGAGCAGTTTAAACAGATCTTAGAAACTATTTTATTTTTTTATAATGTACAGTTAGCTTACTTGCTCTTCCCTGGATGCATTATTACTGAGAAATGGCATGAAGATGTTTTTACAGTCTGTTCCATCAGTTTCTTTCAGGGTAATCATTTTAGCCATTTCAGGAGAAAATAATTTTAACATTTAGTGGACCTGTGTTGTTGATCTTGAAGCAATGCTAGACTCAGTCAAGGACAAGAGCTTCATACTTAGCATGTACACGGTTGCAATATATGAGTTTTATATTTTAGTTAAATGAATGTAATAATCAAAATATCAACCAAAGTTACTTCACAAAAAACTGTAGGTGTATTTACAGTGTGAATAAGTTACAGATTATGTCTGAATAAAAGCGTTTCAGATGTGCAACGGGTTTACATGCACACATTTAACACCAGACAGTAGTTACGTGTAAGGGGAAAAAAATACAAGAATGACATTATAGATATATATCTATATCTATATAGCTATAGATATAGATATAAATATATATAGATACATATATTACAAATAAAATAAGAACTTGCATTTCACGTTAATATTTTTACTTTTTATACTTCAAATTTATATTAAATAAAAATATGCATGCGTAATAGTTCAAAAGATTTGACTCTGATGTGACTTTCTCCTACAAAATGGCAAGTTAAATTAGATCAGCCATCCTTTAATAGTATAAATATATTCATAAAAGCAACCTTCTAGTAAAAAGCAGCTGAGGTCTTTAAAAAAAAAATTCTACCTAGACCATTCATGATACTTGGGGCCTAAGAACAGACCTCTGCAATATGATCCAGTACCTTCAGAGACAGTAGCCTAGCAACATTCGGAAATGTACTTCATAGCAGCTCATTGTTTTAAGATACAGTAATCATATTCAAATTACAGTGTACATTACATTGTAGTCCATTTACAATTTGTTTCATATACAAAGGCTCTCAGCTTTTGACCAACACATTTTCAATGTTCTGTGGCCAGCTTCATTCTGCCCATCTTTCACTAAGCCAAACAAGGAAAAGAAAAGAAAGAAAAAATGTACAAGGGTTTCTTTTTAAACAAAAAAAAATATTCTCTAGTGGCGGAAACATTGCACTTTTGCCAACCTAAAATTAATTTGCTATAAAGGAAGTATCGTTCGGTGTAGTAGGCTTTGGTATGCAATGGAAGTCACTTCTTCAGTAGTGAGTTGCAGTTGT